TCCTATTATTCTATGATTCTATCCCGCCCAGGCCAGCCACCGGTCCTGCCAGCAGAGCAGCGTGTTGTGCCGAGGGCCTCAGCCTGTCTCGGCCCGGCCTCGGGAAGGTGCCGGTCAAGCCTGGCTGCTCATTAGAGGCAACACAGCTCCCGGCTCCCGCCTGCTGAGGCCTCGGTGCAGAACAGCCCCCCCATCCCTGCGCTAATTGCGCCAGCAGATTCCAGGCGGATTTCGTCATCCCTGGTTTCCGCCTGACTGGGAATTGGTTAATAAAGGGGCCGAGGGCAGAAGAATGGGCCCGCTGGACAGTGCCAGGCACAGCAGCCTGCTGCAGCATCACGAGCGAGGCGGCGGGAGGGGGGCGGTCGATGTGTTTGGAATGAGAAGGAACCTGGTCAATTCCCGAGCACCCCCGGTGCGCAAGCTCCTCCCGGGGGCCTCGCCAGGGAGCAATTACAGGGGGGCAGGGCTGCAGCAGGCTCTTGTGGGTGCAGGTCTGGGCTAAATCGCTCTTGGGCCCGTCCGGCAGCCTAGGGAGTGGGGCGCTGCTGGGGCGGCGAGGTGCTAGACATCCTCGGACCGGTCACTAGCAGGCGCGTGTAAAACACACGGGAGCGAGGCAGAGCCGACCGGCGACGGGCTCTGCTACGGATGGCGCGGAGGGACGAGCGCGTGAGGGGCCGCAGGGACAGGAGAGCCCGGGGTTTGCACCCAGCCGATCCCCAGCAAGGGGCACGATGCCTTCAAGTGAGTCTCCTTGGGCTGGCGGCAGTGAGGCCGGAGGACTCGGGTAGCAAGCAAAGCATGGCCGCCGGGCTGGGCAAATCTGCTGGTAACTTGGGTGCAGGCTCCTCCCTAGCGGCAACTGCTGGAGTTTCTTGGAGGTCTCCTCCTCCCAGCAGCCCAGGGCAGCGCGCTGTTTAAAAGAGAGTGACCGGACGGAGAGCCAGACACACTGGCCCCGAAAACACCAGGGATCCCGGGCGGACAGCGCTAGGCGACGGGGGAACCGTCTCCGCAGGAACGGCAGTTCCTCCTCTGCTTTGGCTCCCTGCGGCACGAGTTTTGAGTCTGCCTGGGAGGCCACTTCTCTCACAGAAGGTCACTTCCCGCCGACCCACTTTTCTGGTGCAAAATAGCCTGTGAATCCCACCTGCGTGAAACCAGGCTGCAGGTGCCTGGCTTTTCCAACCTCTGGGCTGCGGAAAATTCTGCCAGCTGAGATCTGGTGGCGAATGAAGATTTTTTCTAGGGCTGTGAGCATGCAACTACTCGCTTCCTCACCTCCCTTGCTGCCTCTGTATCAGAGGCAGCAAGGGGGGGGGGAGGCTTCTACAAAGCAGCCTCTGCCCGCAGCAGGCCCAGGCTCACCGTGGGAGAAGCTGTGCTGGCAGCAGCCCCTGTCTACAGTGGGTCCCAGGCTGGTCATGGACAGGGGTCGCTGCTGGAGCAGCCTCTGCCCGCGGCCAGCCTGGACTGCCATGAACGGTGTTGCTGGACCCGGCGCAAGCCAGGACCGAGCAGTCCTGGCTCACACTGGTCTGGGACCACTGCCCCTCTGCTGCCCACCTCTTACTACATTTAAGTGGCAGAGCCGCAGTGGTCCCAGCGCCTCCCCTTATCGACTCACCGTGTATCGACTACACGATTAGCCGAATACCCGCTCCTCAACATCCATCATTTGTTCATCCAAAGCAGCAACTGCGTGTGCTCGTGCACTCTTCTCCTTTTATTTCACGCTGCGCACGAAGCTACTTTGGTTGGCGAATCAAGCACATCCTGCCCAGCTTTTCTCCAAGTGCAGCAGCCTGGTTTCTCTCGCAGACGACCACCCAATATCCCTGAGGGGCTGCAGAGTGGGCTGTCTCCCCCCCGTGAAAGCAACCCTCAGACGCCGAGTACGGAAGCAAAATCACATTTGAATCGTCTGCTCCCAGCTAACTTCCTGCCCTTTCACCTGCTGCACCGTGGAGCATAGCTCTGAGGGATCTGACCTGCCGTTTCAGCTGCCGAGGCTTTACCCCGGCATGTAATTAAAGCTAGAAGGCCGTAGCCAGCGCTGTCTGGGTGTTGGCCGGCAGGATGGAGTAGTGGGGATTTCTTGGGAGTGAACGATTGTGTTGCGTTTCTATGCTGCTCTGTCTTACCGGATCCCGGACTAGCTTGTTCCCATCTGGTACAGGGCCCCTTATGGAAACCTCAGCTTAGGCAGCGACTGTCTCCCGTAAAGGAGTTCAGCGGCACCGGAAATAAAACGGGTTGGGCTAATCCGCAGGGTGCTGGCGCTGTCCACTCTCCGTAAGCCTGCCCGAGCATGGAGAGGTTTCCTGTAAAGGTCAGTCCTGCGGTTACTGCTGCGCCCGGCTGGGAGCACGCGGGAAGGGTAAGGCCGGGGAGCAGCACCAGCACCGCCAGCCTCGCTCGTTACGAAAAAGCTGCGTTTACACCCCCCTCCACAAGCGTTCGCCGCCCACCTCAGAACGTGCAGACGTCGCTGGCGCCTTCCCAGTGCACGGCGGGGTCAGGGAATCGTAGGCAGCGAGGGGGTAGCAGAGCCAGGAACAGCCACAGGGAGTGTTGGCCAGAGACGTCGCCAACAGGGAATGTTGGCCAAGTCCAGGCCCCTGCTCTGACCACTAGCTCGCACTTCCGGCGCCTGTCCACGGCCGGCTAGCTTGGCGCTGCCCTGTGACATCTCACCTGAGGCGTCGCTAATGCACTAATGTGCTTATTGTCAATGCAGAGCAATGCCCAGCTCAGCAGCCTGGTTTCCTGCCTCCTTTCGTTCTCCTGCCGACGGCGCTATCTGGGCTTTCAGCATGGAGGCCTTGGGAGGGGGGCACCCATAAATACAGCAACACATCTGGTAAATGACTGTGCGTGCCCAGCCGGGAGGGGGCTCTCGCTGCACCCAGTGTCCAGCCCTGGGCTTCTGGGTGGTGCCAAGCGTGAAAGGTGAGTTGCACCAAGCTCGGAGAGTCCCCTCCCCCGGCGTCACACAGCCTCCTGGGAGGGGGGAGGAGAGGGGGCCAGAGGGAAGTCACCTGGCTTCCCCCTTCCTGTCTCTCCGCAGCCTCCTGTGCAGCTCCCCCCGGCCGGGCAAGTCTCATGCCCACCGGTCCCCTCCCCCTTCCATCTGCAGTCTGATTGCTCGGTGGGAAGGGGCCGGGGAAGTGTGAGGGGGGGAGGGGAGACAAATGGGGACTCCCCTGCATTGTTCAACGAGCAGTGTCCCATGTCTGGGTGGCGAGTGAGGGAAACCACCAAGCGACGCCTGGTTTTTGAGTAGTGAAGCCACCACCCCTTCGCCCCCTCCTTGCCCGGTGCACCGGGGAACCGCATCTCGGTCGCTAGCGTGGCAGGTCTGTGGGCCTCGCCCACCCCGGGACTTGGCCCTTCTCCTAGGAAGGACCTTGCTCTTAGCCACACCAGGCTGGTGCTGGTGGTAGGGTTGCCAGGTGTCTGGTTTTCGCCTGGACAGTCCAGTAATTACGTCTTCTGTCCGGTAAAAGAACCAACCAACCAACCAGAAAATACCGGACACGTAACGTTTTCTGTTTTTCTCGGACGGAAGGCCGGCGGGGACATTTTTCCCCTGCCGCGTCTGGTGGGGGTGGGGAGCGCAGGAATTTAAAGGCACAGCGACCCAGCAACCCTGGCTGTTGGGGCAGCAAGGTCTCGGGAAAGGGAACCAACACAACCTCCCCCCGCAGTCCGGGAGGTTGGATGGAACAACCCAAGAGCCGAATCTGCGCCTGCCCAGGCTCTGGGAAGCCCTGGACCTTGCTCCCAGAGGACCCCAATTGTTGGGGCAGCAAGGTCTCGGGAAAGGGAACCAACACAACCTCCCCCCGCAGTCCGGGAGGTTGGATGGAACAACCCAAGAGCCGAATCTGCGCCTGCCCAGGCTCTGGGAAGCCCTGGACCTTGCTCCCAGTGGCCCCCAAGCCCACGGCATGTCTTCAGCACTGTCTGCTGCCCCTCGCTTCCTCCCCCAGCGCTGGCCTCCCTGCAGCGAGGAATTCCTCCCTTCCCTAGAGGCGTAGCGGCCTTGGCCAGGGTCAGAGGCTTGCTCGTCTGGTGGCCAACGGCCGTGTGGGAAATAGGCCAGTTTGGACCATCGATAGCTCTCGCTTCTGCTCCCCGGGGCCCGGGCGAGACCGACTCGCTCCTTGGGAGAGCGGGATGGCTGGAGTAGGGGGCGGGGCTGCCGATCGGAGCCGGCTCGAGAAGGCCAGCTGGCCTGGGTTCATTCACTTGGCAGGTAGCTTCGGCCACTTACTTTGGGTGGCAGAGCCCCTTCGTGCGAAGGGGAGTCGCCCCCCGTTTATCTATGGAAAGAAACCCGGGAAGGACATAGACGAGTGTGAGCAGAGCGCCAGCCGACTGGCTGAAGGGTGCGCACGAGCCAGGGATCAGTTGGCCAAATGAGCAGAGGCGGAGGTGGGGCTGCGGGAGAGGAAAGAGGAGGAGGAGGAGGGAGCAAGGCCCCAGCGAGGGGGCAGCTTCCAGGTACGACGGTCACAAGCCCTTTTAGCCTCTGAAGATCAAACCCAACCCCCCGAAACCACTCGGCAGCGTGTGGCCAGTAAGGCCCGTGGTGGCCACTGAGTCGGCACCAGCTTCCTCCCTGTGGTGGGTTTCAGTTGAGCGTCTTGCAATGGTCTCTAATCTGGAGGTGACACAGGCTGGGGAGGAGGAGCCGGAGCCACGTCTGTGGCTGCTCCTGGCCAGGCCCCGATGGGCGAAAAGCCCTTTTGTTCGCTGCTGTAACAGCACCCCTCAGCCGTGAGCGGGGCTAAAGGCCTCTGGGCGAGGGGGGGGAATTATCTCCCCCCACCCCACAGAATTTATCCAAGGTCCATGGGGGGGTTGGACATTGGCGACCAGTGGCCAGCGCAGCCCTGTGAAGACGGAGCCCCCTCGTATGTACCGTGATGACGGGAGAAGGCCGTTGGGTGCTGCTGCCCGGACTAACAGGACGTCTCCTTTCTCAACAGGACCGTCAAGCTCCAACGCTGCCGGCAGTTGCTCGCCGTCTCCGTGCCAGAACGGGGGGAGCTGCGAGGACCTGGAGGGGGGCTACCGGTGCCTCTGCCCCCAGCAGCCAGTGGCATACAGGGGCGCCAACTGCGAACTCCTCTCCTCCGTGTGCTCTGTGCACAACTGCCCCCCCGACTGGCTGTGCACGGAAACGGCGGGACACCAGGGTTACGAATGCACCTGTGGGCCTGACCTCCCCGGCACGGAGTGTCCCATGGCCGCACATGCGTGCGAGAGCAACCCCTGCCACGGGCCTCCCTGGGAGTGTGTCGCGAGTGCCCGTGGCTACATCTGCCAGTGCCCCACCGCACCATCCGGAGACGGCTGCCGCCTGGAAGGGTCTTGGTGCTCCAGCCGCCCCTGCCAAAATAACGGGACCTGCACGGAGGGGGCCGGGGGATACGCCTGCCGCTGCCACGCCGGCCACGCCGGGCCGCACTGCGAAGAGGACGTTGACGAGTGCGCCTCCAGCCCCTGTCAGAATGGCGCCATCTGCCTGGACGGGGCGGCCGAGTATCAGTGTTTCTGTGTGCCGGGCTTCCAAGGGCACCGCTGCGAAATCGACATCGACGAGTGCGCATCCCGGCCCTGCGAGCACAACGGCACCTGCCGGAACGAGAGGGATCACTACGTGTGCACGTGTGTCCCCGGCTACGCAGGTACCTTTCCGGCTCCCCCCGAGCCTCTCTCTGGGAGCCGGCTTCCGTAGGACGGGGGAGGCGCGCTGCCCCGCCCCCATGCTCCCACCACAATTCTAATTGCTAAATGGGGGGCTTCCCATGTCCCTCCAGCTGGCCCCCTGGCACCAGCTGCCCCTGTGGTGTCTGCACTGCGCCATCAACGCGCCTGCCTGTGGGCGAACCGGCACCGGACACCGTCCTTGCCCCAAAGAGCTTCTCAGCTTGGGCTTTCAGCGACCGCGGCCGAGCAAGGGGGCTGGGGAGCGCATGCGTCCTCGCTCGGGCGGGCACGGGTCCCAAGAGACGCCGGAGGCTTGGACCCGCCGGGCTGAGGCGGCGGCTGGGGCGTGGTTTGGACTCCTGGGGGGATGGGATGCGGATTCCCAGCAGCGATGCTGAAGGGATGGGCTTTGGCGATGGCACCGTTCCGGGGCAGCGCAGAGAGAGACGCGTTTCTCAGGGGTGTGACTAGCCTCGGCCAGGCTGCCCAGGGGCTCTCTGTCCTGCCTTCCCGGCGTGCTCCGGGAGCTCCGGAGTGGAGCAGGGATTAGCTGGGGCTTTGTTTCTCCAGCTCTCACACCAGAGAGCGTTTGGCATGCGACTCCGGGGGGATGACTCACTGCGTAATCGGCACCTGCGAGTTATCTGCAGAGGCAGGGGCCCCGGGGGCTCCGCTCCCCCACTGGAATGCAGCTCAGGCTGCAGCCACCTCCCCCGGTACCAGCCGGCACGCTGGGCCCAGCCACGGGCCTTGCGGGAATGATGTTGCTAAAAAGGAATGTGGGGTCACTCCACTGCCGATTGCAAGCGGAGGGGGGAGGTGTTGCCTGCCAGGCATGCACTGAGTCACTCGAGCTGGGGGGAAACACCCCCCTCCAGAACCGGCTCTGTTTAGAACTCACAATGGCCGTGCGAGTGTTGTCCGCCTGTTTCCCAGTCACTTCCCTGCCACAGCCCTAGCTCAGGGCTGGGGGGGTCCCCCGGAAGGGGCTGGGGGTGTCAATAAGGTGTAAAACAGCCTGGGGAGCAGCAGCAGGGGTGAAAGGAACTTAAATTTCTTACAGGTGCGGTCCTGTCCCTGCCACCTCTTTCAATAGCTCCCTGCTGGCTTTTGCTGCAGCTCAGCCAGCTCTCGCCGGAGCTGTGCCCCGAGCGCCCCCACTTCCTTGCAGCCTGCTCTGTTCCCGGGGACGCTGAAGCCGGACACAAGAGTTTGCATCCCAGCTGGGCCGGCAGCTTCCTAGGGCCGCTGGACCTTCCAGGCTGAGCGTTGCCCGGCCCTCGCCGCCGGAATGTGGGCGAAGGAAGTTTTGACAGGAGGCTTGACAGGTTTTGATCTGGCAGATTATGGGGCCCGCATTCCTTTAGGATTAGGGCAGCCACGTCCCCTGCAGCGGGAGCCTAATCCTCCTTTCTGTCAGAGATGGATTGGCAGGTGCCACTCGAGGGGTGATTTCAGGCCACGGGCAGGCTGGGTCCTAGCATCTCATTGATCGCCTGACGAAGCGACGTTGAGACAAAGCTAACGGATACGTTTCTCCTCTGATTAATACTCAGTGACTAAGACCCGTATTGTTGCTAGCACAAATACCTTGTACTTCGCCAGCACCTCCCTTCGGAGGACCTCAAAGCAACTTACAAACCCCAATATCATTTCGGGAGGTGGATAAAGGATGCACAGTGATCACTGCATTGACCCCTACAATGCAACCACTTCTGTAGTGGAGCACAGCGGCTATGCAGCAGCGAAGAACAAATATCACATGCATCCAAACTCACGGGGACACTGGGTTGCAGCGTGTGAATATCAACGGAGCAGTAAGCACCCTGCTACTCCCCTCCCGAATAAGGCTTGATACGATTTTTGTAGTGCATGGAAGTGAGCAGGATCTTGGGGTTTTGTAGCACCCAGCTGTTAGAGAAGAAAACTTAACCTGACCAGACACCTAATGGTGCCAACTCATTGGACTACAGCAATGCCTGAGCCTACCTGGATAAACTGGGACACTTTCATAGAATCATAGGACTGGAAGGGACCTCGAGAGGTCATCGAGTCCAGCCCCCCGCCCTCAAGGCAGGACCAAGCTCCGTCTACACCATCCCTGACAGATGTCTATCTAACCTGTTCTTAAATATCTCCAGAGAGGGAGATTCCACCACCTCCCTTGGCAATTTATTCCAATATTTAACCACCCTGACAGTTAGGAATTTTTTCCTAATGTCCAATCTAAACCTCCCCTGCTGCACTTTAAGCCCATTACTCCTTGTCCTGTCCTCAGAAACCAAGAGGAACACATTTTCTCCTTCCTCCTTGTGACATCCTTTTAGATATTTGAAAACCGCTATCATGTCCCCCCTTAATCTTCTTTTTTCCAAACTAAACAAGCCCAGTTCATGAAGCCTGGCTTCATAGGTCATGTTCTCTAAACCTTTAATCATTCTTGTCGCTCTTCTCTGGACCCTTTCCAATTTCTCCACATCTTTCTTGAAATGTGGCGCCCAGAACTGGACACAGTACTCCAGCTGAGGCCTAACTAGTGCAGAGTAGAGCGGCAGAATGACTTCACGAGTTTTGCTTACAACACACCTGTTGATACAACCTAGAATCATATTTGCTTTTTTTGCAACAGCATCAACTGTTGACTCATATTCAACTTGTGGTCCACTACGACCCCTAGATCCCTTTCCGCCATGCTCACTTTGGCACACTTGTTAAAACAGCTCCAAGCTGAACAACTCCAAGTGCGAATCCTGGAAGCCCGGCCCACCCAAGGGACAAATGTGTTCCGATTAGCAACTGAACTGTCTGCAAATGTGTGTCCAAATTGCAGGGAAAAATTACCCAAACCAGATCCCACCCTCCAGAGCCTGACCATAATGAATATTAATAAGCAAACAATGAATACAATTGTACCCACCCCTAATTACTATTTATTTATATGATTTCTAATTGAATCATCAATTTCCTATAATTACACCCTATTATCTCTCTGTGGCTGAAATCCTTACCACCATTCCAGACCCATATTCATTCTACATACCCCAGCACTAGGAAGCGTATTTCATTTGCTAAATGCCGACGGAATTGACTAAGTCACTGGAAGCAAATGAGAGTTTATGCTGGAGACTCACAAACGTTCCAAACTGTGCTCAGTTTTGTTGATTTAAAAGCAAAGCCCCGCAGTCGCCCCAAAACAGCCGTGGAACGAAGCACTTACGTATTCGCAGGTCTGTGTGCTGCCCCGGCACTGATACATCGCCTTGTCTGTACTCTAGCGAGTGGGTCTCCCGGGTGTTGTGATCCCCGCTCAGATCTCCAACTACAGGGCTCACAGGAACGCTTCGCTCTTGTCCCGCAGGTGTCAACTGTGAGGCTGAGATCGACGAATGCAACTCGGACCCGTGCCAGAACGGGGGCACCTGCACGGACCGCGTCGCGTTCTACGCCTGCGCCTGCGCCCCAGGTTATGAGGGGCCTCAGTGTCAGGTGGACATAGACGAATGCGCCAGCCAGCCCTGTAGCAACGGAGGGATCTGTCACGACCGTGTGGGCAGGTGAGAGGGGCACAGCACAACGGCCCCTTGCATTGCCGCGGTTACTTGACGTGGATCCATTGACTGCAGGGCTCTTGATGACTTCTCTACTCCCCCCCCAATTATTGTCTTGTTAAACTCAAG